TCTATATTTGTGGACATATTATCTAACTTCAAGAGAATGTTCTGTTCAAGTGTATCAATTCTTGCATTTAGTGTCTCCTGGAGAAGATCTATTTTATTTGTATTTAAATCTGTTGGAAAAATTAACTGACTTACATCACCACTAAACAGAAGTTCTCCTTCATTTTCTTTTTGTATCTCAGAAAAATTTGATTCTACGATTCCTTGTGCTGTAATGTTAATAGATTCGGGACTTGAATTTCTAGAAGGGATATCTGGAAGTAGTTTATCTCTTAGATTTAAAAACTGATCATCTAAGTTATGTGATTTATTATTCTTTTTTTTATTATATACCAGAGATCTGTCGTCAGGTTCCGATTCACTTTGTTGTAACATATTCTCCAAAACATTATCTGCCTAAAATTAAAAATGTCAAGTAAAATATAAGCAATTTATTATGAACTTTTAACAAATTATATACTGTTAAAATTAAACAGACTATAGCTTAATTTAGATTTTCTTTGGGAATCCCAATATAAACTAAGATTAATTAAAAATTTAAAAAAATGAAAACCCTGTATATTCTGTAGTAATACTATATAGTATATTTTATTACGAGTGTGAAAAACCACTTTTCACACAAAAGTGATGTACAATATTTTTCCTACGACCACAAAATAATTTCATCAAAAAATGTAAAACCAGGTTTATATTATAATAAATAAAATGTATTTAAAAAAAATAATCAATAATTATCATATTTTTTTAAACAAAAAAAAAACAAAAAAACAAAAAAAATAAAATAAAAATACGAACAAAAAAATTATCTTCCTCCGCCAGGATTTGATCGCGTGAGCCCGCCACGTCTCAAATGGCAAAGTTGATAAAGTTTGATACTCTACCACCTGAGCTAACAGGCCTTACGTCAAGTGAATTTCTAATCGGTTATGTGTTTAACCAGAATAAAAAGCAAACATAATGTACCTAGTTATTTTAAAATTATTTTAATAATATAATAATTGTTAAAGATAAATATCTAGGATCTAATTTTAATAATTTAACAATCATATCGGTTTTACTATTAATATGGACATTACATAGATTAAAATAAAAATGATGTGTTTGACATTTTGAGGCAGCTGTGCGGAAAGTAGCATATATTCGCACATGGGTAGAAAGTAAATTTTTATTCATACGCGTGTGATATAGGGCACTTTCGATAGGACTATATTATATAGTGTGATATGTTTCACTTTCCTAAGTGGTCGTAGGAAAAGTACTTTAAAATATTCTTGTGGAAGAATGTATCTCGTCCCCGTAGAAAAAAATTCTTGAAAAATAACCTTAATGAAGGGCGAAGAGCCTCGTTCAATAGCCTTTTGTCACGGCGCAATAAATCACTTTATTATTATTATTATTATTATTATTATTATTATTATTATTAGATACTATTATTAACATTACTGATCTATGTGCTATGTGCTGTGTATTTTGAAGTTGTACATGCTAGGTTAATTTTACAACAATAACAACTACTTACTTCATAAAATGTTTTGAACCCTGCTTTTTTCAACCTACATTTAAGAAGAATAAAATCTTCATTTGGTTTTATATCTGGACTTGCTTTCATCAATTTTGTTAAATGAATGTTTGTTTTATGCGGCCAATAAAGTAAGTCACTTCCATCACTCCACTCTTTTAACTTTATCCATTTAGTGGGTACAACACTTAATATTGATTGATTTTTCCCTTTGTTTTCCTGAATAATGCAGTATTTTCCAGTTAGTTCCATATTAAATTTTTTTGTAGTCAAAATAAACAATCTGCACGAGTTTCTTTCACGCGCACGTGATGATTTTGAAGGTTAGGTTACAAGACATTAAATTTGCAATTGCAGATCATTTGCAGTACTTTTGCAAGTGTTTGACATGTTGATATGCAGAGGCCTTACAAGAAATTGTTATTCAGTTCGAAAAGTAAATAGGAAGGCAAAATTATTTATTTCTTTGCATGTAAAGAAATATTAAGTACTTTTATCATTAAATTTAAAAATTATTTTATTTACTTACCTAATTAAAACCAGATTTAATATTAATTTGACATTTATACCTTAAATTTACAATAGCGAAAGTATTTAACAGAAGTTGTCGTAGCTCAGTTGGTTAAGGCGTCTGTTCCAGAGATTTCAAACACCTTGGTTGCAGGTTCGAATCCTATTAAAGGTAAGTTAAAACAAAAAAAAAATAGGTTAAAATTGTATCGCGCTACTAGTTATAAATGAAATTAATAATTAAATTAATTATAAAAATGATATAGAATTATATATAAATTCAATCAATTGAAAAAAATGTGCACATTATTTTTATTAATACATATTTGTTCCTGCACATTATCTGCATAACAACAAATTAAGAGATCTTAATTTTACTTACACATGATCTGCATAATACATCCAAAGTAAACTATGTATGACTGATAAATTATATGCATTGCAGGGTATTACCTACCAACTAAAGGTATTATGCAGAAGTAATGCAGGTCTGCATTAAACCTTCATAGAAGTAATAAACAAACTGTGGTATGTAAAATATAGGCCATATAAAAATGTTTTGCAGATCACGTCACCTGCATAAATGCGTCCAAAACTGTGTTTTATATGACCTTTTATTATTGGTTTGCAGCAAACTATGCAGATTAAAATGTTACTTGGGCAACCAGCAGTTTAAGCAGGATCTGCTATAACTTTATTAGAAGATTTCCTTGATAATAAATTGTAATATATGAATTGTTTCAAATGAAATTGAAAAAGAGTTAAATTCCAAATTAGATTTTTCATGGGTAAAATGTTATATTCATTCAAACATTGTAAGGTAATCTATAATTAAGGGAATATGGAAAATAGGTATACCCTGGTGGTGTAAGAGACAAGTAAGGGGCAATGACAAAAAAATTACAAAAATGTATTCATCTTTAAATAGTGTTTATTATTAATATTATTTGCTATGTTTGAAAAGTACCTCCTGCTGCAGAACAGATCGAATAGATTAGACGACTAGTTGGAGAAGGTTCACCCAGTAACCAAATTAGGAGACTAGGAAAACGTTTACATGACTGGGGACACAACAAGAATGCACACCCACAAGATACACAAACAAACGAAATAACAGGGGTAAGCCTTCAGCAACGTCCTGTTTAAATGATAGTATGTCATCCTTCATTCCCTTTTAGACTCAGGCCTTATACATTTGTGTTGAGTGTATGTGTGTGTTTGTTTGTTTTGTTTCCATGGTTTCTATTAAACAGTCATAACATATCCATACCTTTTTGCCAGACTAACATAAGCGACATTTGTTCAAATGGCACTTATGATAGTCTAGCAAAAAGGTATTGATATACTCTATACTTTATAAAATATTTGTTACATTAGTTTTTAAATATATTATGAATATATAACAACTGTTACTTTCTTTGTAATTTGTCACAAAATGATAGGAGGTACTTTCTAAACATAGCAATTGTAGTTTGTTTTTCTGTACCTTACAAAAATATAATTTATAGAAAAAGAGTTTGGTGTATTATTTTTCCAAGTTTAAATATTTAATAATAGAATTTTCAAGTTTTTTTAGCGAAATTTACAAGAGTAATAAAAACTATGTTCACTGCTTATATTAAACTGATTAAAACTTCCTTTATTAAAATGATTATTTATATGATAAAAAATTTGATGTTATTGGAAGATTTTATATTTTTTAATAAACAGTGAAACAATAGTTTTTGTTTCTCTTGTAAATTTGTTGTATACAAAAACGATTTCTGAATCCATGTTTGAATTTCCCGCCCTAAAGCATTTTTAATTTTCCCGCTATTTACTAGTGGCGCCATCATAGATGGGTTGTGGTTACAATCGCCCAAATAAGTTTTACCCACATTGATTTTCTTTACGTGCAACTCGGATAATACAACATATAACAACCGCCTATAATAAAACAGCAGTCTTCTGCGTATCCTAAATTTGTATCCCTGGGGGTCGATTCTCGACTTGTAGGAACCTTTTCCTATAGGAATTTGTGACACTTTCCTATATGTATGAAAATGTCATAAATTTTCGATGTATATAAAAATGTTAAAAATTTCTATAGGAAAATATTCCTACGAGTCGAGAATCGACCCCCCTGAGTGGATCTTATTTTGAAACTTTCAACTGGTCCGAGTGAGCTAACTGATTCTTTAGCAATAATCTGTGACTCAAAAAATAATATTCACTGACACTGACAGCCGCAAGCAAAATATCAGGGGGGTTAGTTTCAAACTCGAGAGAAAGGAGTGCTCTATTGAGAGAAAGGAGTGCTCTATCGAGAGAAAGGTAGTATGTGACTTGGCCTTGTACACACATCGGTTATGGGTACACACATGGAGGAAGGGTACCCACGCCCCTAATCACGTGGTCAAATTCTCCTGAGAATATGAATTCTCTCGAAATAAACCGAGAGAAAAGGTCAGTGAGTAGTCATGAGGTAGTCACTGGTTTTCAAAATACAGTTTCCACGTTGACATATGACAATTCTCCTGAAATCTTGAGAGAAATGAGTACTCATACACGGTTTGAAAATAGGTCCCCAGGGGTAGTATTCTCGAATCACGACATTCGCATACGTGTTTCACAATGTGTCTCACTTTGTTGAACGAAAACCAAGTGAGACAAATCATAAATCTCGCATGCGAATCTATATTCGTGACTCGAGAATACTACCCCAGGTGCGTTTTAATCATCCGCTTCTGCTTCCGGAATTGTCGGTTTAGTCGTTTTAACTTGTCAAATTAAAACAAGAAAACCGACAATTTCGAAGCAGAAGCGGATGATTAAAACGCACCTATTAAAAATATTGCGCCAAGATGTAGGCAACACGTAATAAGGGTTCAAAATGGCGGAGTTTTCTATCTCCTTTTAAAAGGCACTCAGAAAGCTGCGCAGTGCGACCATTCTCCGTATAGTAAAAGAAAATCAAAGTATGTGGTTTTACCGAACAAAAAAAATACATTGAGTTACACGTCTCGCTGGATTGTCTCTGCCTGAGATCACGGTAACAAAAAAAAGAAGATCAAAATGATTGACAGACGGCTAGCTTCTACTTTTTTTCTATTACGTAAACAGCCACTGAACCTTAAAAATTGCAAAATTAAAATGTTATCCACAAAGATCTTAAGCAATGTTAATAAAATACGCAATTTTTCCAATGCTAAACGAAGTTTTGTAGCTGGAAAAATATATTTTAACAAGTCTCCAAGTAGCTCCAGTCCTATTTCTGAACCTAGCAACGTACCTGGTTTAACAGATGCCTGTTTAAAAGTGAGTATAAAAAATGAATACGTTCTAACACAATTAAGTAAATTATTTTAAATGCATATTTTTTAGGTCCCCGGCCAACCCGTAGGCCCAGGTGCAGCAAAAAATACAGGTTATAAAAATCCAGAGTACTTCTGTTATGATACATTTAGTTATTTCGAAGCAGAAGTTGAAATGCTTAAATTTCGTTGTCCTCAACCTTCTACAGATACTCCTTATTTTCAAAACAAGTAGATATACGTGTAATGAGCCATGTTATGAAATAAAATAATTTATTTAATAAAACATTCTTTCTAGTTCTCCAAACTATAATTAATGCTAATAAACCTTATTTAGTGATACAATAGTTTCTGTTCGATAACGATTTACCAGAGTTTTAATATTCCTGCACTATAATTTTTGATACTTCATTTCAAATATGTGTCATTAACTACTTGAAAATAAGGTATGCACAATGATTGCCAAATACTTCCCTTGGAATTTAAATAAAATATGGAACATTTATATGGCAAAACGTAATATTTTTATTAGCAAAGCATATTTTAATAAAGACGATTCGAGTTCTGATGATAAATGTAAAAAATCAAAAAAATCTGTACCGGTTGTCAAAGGATTGTCAGAAGCTGTTTGTTGTGTAAGTTAAGATAACTATATATGGGTTTCTGATCATAAATGGTCTATTCAAATTACTATATTGGCAACCCACCTTGAAAGCAAGTTTAACCGACAGTCTCCTTAATACACCCAAGAGCATTTTTATTTATCAGCAGATAATCATTTTAATTACCAATAAATTATTACACTTGAGGGTATGTATATATGTTTTGAGGCTTCCTTTTTTTAATATGTTTACTCATTATGTGTCATCTCTATGTTAATGTAATGTTTAAGGTTTAGTTTATTTTCACTAAAAGACTAATTTATTCTACATAAAACACCAATTTATATTCCTCTTACTGATAAATTAATTTATATTAGACAGAATGATATCTTAAATATAACTCTCTTCAAACAACAAGATTCTAGACACCCTTCGACTAAAAAAATGGTACATTAGGTACAAGCACCTCCACCAGAATTTTTTATTTCTAGGTTTGTCAACATTTGACGGTTCACTTAGAATGATGACGAGCATATGGGCGTCTCATTGGGTTTTCAGGGGTAGACATTTCCTATCAACGGGAAAAATAGAGAGGCTGTAAAAGGCCCAAATAAGGCAGAGGGGGGGATTAAAGGGAATACAACTGGTCGAAAATGGCTCGCGTGACTTTATAAAACATTTTATAAGTTGTTTTTGAATAAAATTACCTAAAATTAGTTTTTTCTTTGAAAAATAATTCATTATTTCAACTAAAAAAAAATCAGACATTTAGAACAGAAACCATTTTATTTTGTGGTATAAATTGTATTTTTTTGTCACAATGCAATAAGTTACTAATAATTTTTGCCAATAAGAGCTTCCTGTATAATTTCTTTTTATTATATTGTTAGGTTCCTAACACACCTGTAGGCCCAGGTGCGGCAAAGTGTGCAGATTATAAAAATCCAGAATATTTCTGTTACCATAAGTATAGTTTCAATGAGGCGGAGGTTGAACTGAAAAAATACAGAACATATTCTCAAGGTTCTAATAAATGTTCAAAGAAATAAATAAATTTGTCTTTATTTAAATAATGTACATTTCTTTCTACATGTTTTAGTAGGATGCATTGAAGGAAAAGTTTAACCAAAGATATGCACCTTCAGCCGTCTTTAATAATTTGCAGGACGAAATTTTTAACACGGAAAGTGTAATATTTAGTCATGGATATTGACGTGTACAACAATAAACTTTGTATATTGTCCCTAGTACAAATAAAGAATTTGATTTTCTTTTGATAACTACAACAAAAGAGAGTTATGTAATATCTATCTAACTAAAAAATTATAATTTTCCTGTATCCAGCAAGAAAAGCATATGAATCATGATTTTTTTTGACTACACCGGCACACAAAAAAAAAGTTGTTTGTACATCAGACACGACCTACCTACGGGCATGTATTTTGACCCGCCATTGAGTAAGGAAATTATACTCCTTTACTCAATTTATACTCCTTTACTCAATGGACCCGCTGAATCCGAATTTCAAGTCAGTTTGGGCCGTCCACCCTTCAATATCGAGTAAATTGTAAAAATAAGATTAGTAATAAAAAAAATTTATTAATCGAAACCAAGCATAATTTTTATGTATTTCGATCCGCTGAATACTGTGGAGGTCATTTGAGAACAAAAAAGTTTGATACCAACAAAAAACAGTTCAAAATCTGAAAAAATATTTCGCCTCATTCAGTTCATACATCAGTTTTTAGAGATATTTCAAGGGTGGACGGCCCAAACTGACTTGAAATTCAGCGGGTCAAAATACATGCCGGTAGGTAGGTCGTGTCTGATGTACAAACAACTTTTTACTTTCCTATCTGTATACAGATATAAGGAAAGTATAGGAATCATGATTTTTTTCGACCTCGAGTTTTCGACGGATTTTTACGTTTTGAGGTTCCCTGAATCCGTTTTGACTATTTTCGCGATGATGTCTGTCTGTGTGTGTGTCTGTATAACGCATAACTCATGAACCGATACACATAAAAACACCAAATTTTAAACTTAAGCTTTATTTCAGCGTCCAATGAGCTGATTAGATTTTGGGCAGAGTCGGAACATCTGGGGGGGTACTTTATAGGTGGTCATTTTTATATTTTACGGAATATATTCGTTATTTACGTTTGAAGAAGAAAATTATTCAAATAAAAGTTACTTACAATATTATTATCTATAATTTTTGTCCTATATAAAATTTTCCTAAAATGGTCCGTATTCGAGAAATTTGACAAAATGTAAAAAAAATAATTTTTTATAAAAATTGTTTAAATAAAAGTTGTTTGTAATATAATTCTCTATAATTTTTATTCTATACATAATTTCTCTAAAATGGACCGTATTCGAGATATTTGAGAAAATGTGTAAATTTCGAAATTTGAAGAAAACTCAGAAACGGATAAAGGAAAAAACATTAAATTTTAAACTTAAGGTTTATTTCGGTCTGACGTGAAATTATTAGATTTTGGACAAAGTCGGAACATCTGGGGGGGTACTTTATGGGAGGCCGTTTTTATATTTTATGGAATATATCTGTTATTTATGTTTGGAGAAAAAAATTGTTCAAATAAAAGTTACTTCTAATATTATTATCTATAATTTTTGCTTTATGTAAAAATTTCCTGAAATGGTCCGTATTCGAAAAATTTGACAAAATGTGCAAAATTCTGATTTTTATGAAAATTGTTGAAATAAAAGTTGTTTGCGATATCGATCTCTATAATATTTGTTCATACATGATTTTTTTAAAATGGACCGTAATGGAAAAATTGTAGGAAAAGTGCTAAATTTAAATTTTTCAGTATTTTCATTTTCAATGAATATCTATAGAAAAATGTTTCGCGGTAGATGTATATGGACAATGTATATATTTAGTTTATCCTCTAAACATTTATAGAGATGCTGCAATAGGTTATACAAAATAACCGGAAAAAGCCTGTAATAACTAGATAGGAAAGTCATGTGTTGGACACAGATTTTTTTTTGTGTGCCGGTGCTATTTTCGTGATGATGTCTGTCTGTATCCAAACGAAAAAAACTCAATTTTGAACTTAAACTTTAATCCATAGTGCGGTAGGCCGATTAGATTTTGAGTATAGTAGGACTTTTTCTTTTCTGTCCTGTACATGATTGTGTAAAATTTAAATTTTTTAAGTATTTTAGTTCGCAATGAAGATATGAAAAAAATGTCATAAATAATTTCTATCTTTAATTCATATTGTGTGACCCACTCAAAATGTTTCTAAATTAGGCCTTGGAAAAATTAAGAGGTGTCCGTAGTTATCATCGAGATGACTCATATATCTGTATTTGTCGGTCATGGCCTACTTTAGATACATTTTTTTGTGGATCACTCTTTAGGTTTGTTCCAACATAAACCAAATCAGTTTGAATACTGTCGGGATTCTGCGCTGTCTAGGGAGGATTCGTGTACAAAAACATAGTATTCCAACACAACCAAAACTAATCACAAACCGATTTGTGTACTGCCTGATCAGTTCCTGGGTCTGATAGGAACGAATTATCAAGACATGCGCAAAGCCGCAATAACCTGAAAATTTCGTGATTGTAATTATTATATTATTTTTATCGTCTCTAACAGCTCTTATATGTGTTTGTACATCGAGTTTAGTCTTAATTTTTTTTCATTATCATTTATTTTATTTTGTGGTTTATCATTGTAATAGTGCGTCTGTTGAATTTATTACAAATGTGTTCCAACATAACCGAGTTGAGTCCCAATCCTCGGACTGGTCGTCAATTACTAGTTGTCGACAGATTGTCAATAATAAGTCGCGGACTGGTTTATATATTGTTCTAAGATCGTTGTTGGAACAAACCTTTTATAAACACTTTTTGATTAGATAGACCATACTCAATATATTTGAAATTGTAAATTATACTTTATTCATCAAAATTAATAAAAGTTAATCTATAAAAATCAAGATAAAAGAATGTTAATGAAACATCCAGGAAGTCTGTTCCGTTTTGTACATATTCCATGGTAACTTCTTATTTACACATAAAAGTGAAAAAAAAAACAAACTATTTACAAGTTTCTAATCATTTTAATCACTTTCCTAAAACATTAAACTGGATGCTGATTTGGTGAAGATAGAATCTTCTTGATTCACTTAAAATAAATTCTTCAACAGTATTACTCACTGTGTAAGAGTATCTGATAAAATCGACAATGGTAAAAAATAATAAATAAAAGCTAAATACACTTTAAAATCCTACAAATATATACAATTTTAAAATTTACATAATGAGAAAATTATACATGATTATATTGTTACTTAACGCCACCAAACTCAAATTTGAGATGTTCAGGAACCTCATACTTCAATTCACTCGTACTATCATATTTCAACTCAGTACTGTCATACTTCAGCTCGCTAATATTGTCATACTTTACATCTTCAGTCATTACCAAATTATGCATAACTTTCATATGATGTTTTAAGTAAGATTTATCTGCGAATTTTTTCTCGCAAGCTGTACACTGAAAAGGTTTGACGCCTGAATGACAGTATAAGTGTCTGAGTAATTTTTGTTTATCGTAAAACTGACTAGGGCAAATATGGCAAACGAATCTTTTTTCCTTTTCCGGTAGTTTATCGCCGATTTCGTGCGATCTGCGCAAATGTGTTTTTAACGTACGTTGCGTTTTGTATTCTCTTTGACAGTATTCACAAGTAAAAGCTTTGACATTTGAATGCAAATTCACGTGACGTTTTAACTCGCTGCTGGTAATAAATGGTTTTTGACAAATATGACAGATGTGCTGCTTATCCCCGGCGTGTCTTTTCATGTGTTGGTCGTAGTTTCCTTTTTGTGGAAACCTCTTTTCACATACATTGCAGGAGAATTTCCATGCAGATCTATCAGTGTGGACGACCAATATGTGAGTTTTGAGATTTTTGTTGGTGTTGAAGGCTTTGCCGCACAGAACGCATTTGTAGTTGCGCCTATTGAAATGGGTGTATTCGTGGACTATAAGTTCGCTTTTGGTGATGAAGCGCTTGCCGCATAAACTGCACACGTTATCTCTACTTCTGCTGTGATATTTTATGTGTTGGTCATAGCCTGAAAATTTTGAAAATAGAGAAATACATTTCTAAACCCAAGGGCGAAAAAAAAAAAACTAAAGAAAAATCAACGTGCCCCAGTAGCATATAGTGTCTTAACCATCAGAGGGGCAAGCATAAAGAGACGAGTTTCTAGATATTAATGACGTATTTTTCACTTTCATTAATATTTTGGTATTCTCGTAATAAAACTAACATTGAGAAATAAATGACCCCACGGTTTTCTTACGATAAATTACTTTTATTACAGTTTTTGGCCACCTAATTAAGTATGTCCATGGCATAATGTTCTTATATGACTAGTTTTTGAGAAAAAGGGTGTTGAACTTGTGAATTCTTATAATTTTTAAAAAACTCAATTTTCATACCGCCGTATCTCGATTAGTTCTAAGCGATCAATATTATGTAATAATACCATTTTGGAGGTAGATTCCCAATCACTATATGGGTAGTTGAGCTGGGCATTTAAAGAAAGTCACAAAAAACCATAGGTCCCCTCCTGTTTTTTTTACAAAAACGGTCAAGAGTTAGGTCGTATTTTTTTATGGCCTTTTATAGATTTTGGCATTAAAAATCTGATTTTCATGTCATCTTAAAGAACTCATCACATCTATAGATTCAGAGCAGAATTTTTTCTTATTTTTCAAATTGTCTATGGTTTGTTATCGTCCCCCGATTTCTCTAGCTATAGGTGACTACTGAAGGGTTGAATAATTGAAAAAGATTCTGATAAACTGAATTGAGATCGAATCTAAATACTCAAATTAACGACTAGTACGCCAGACACACAAGCTCTGGTGGTCTAGAAGTTGGGACGTTAGAATGGAGATCCAGAGATATTATAGGTATTTTTATGACCTCACACATGCCTTTGATTCAATAGACCACAGTTTACTATTAAAAAAAAATTGAAGGTATAGGAGTAAGAGGAAAATCACATGACTGGGTAGTATCATATTTGGCAGAATAATGTCAAACAACAGCTATTGATGGGGCTCCAACTGAATGCCACAGTAATGCATTAGGCATTCCACAAGTCATGTTACCTTGTCCAATTTTATTTATAGTTTTTATAAACGACATTACAAGCAGTTGTGAAAAATCAGATAAAGCTGTTTTTTTATGCAGATGATGCAAATATGATACTGTCTGAGCAATGTGTCAGTACCTTAGTAGAAAATGGAAATAAAATGGAATTTGAAAAATATTGTAGGGAAAACGGTCTTCAGTTAAATTGCGAAGAAACCTTATAATGAAATTTTTACTACAAAAAAAAAGATCTACTAATAATTAAACTCTCTGGAAAATCAATAGAAAGTACTCGATCCCAAACTAACATGGGAATTTCATATCAATATGCTATGCTCAAAGCAGAGTAGTACTTCCTTCATTTTGAGAAATCTTAGGGATACAATTTCCTTACAAATCTTATATTTTAGACTGGTACAACCTCATTTACAGTAGGGTTTGTTGATGTGGGGTTCCTCCACACACACATAGATAGAACATTCACCATGCAGAAAAAAATTGTAAAGATGTATGAATAGAGTTTATCCATTAGAAACCTGCAGAAATCTATTTAAAATTGAGATTCTAACAGTGCATTTTTTATATATCTTGCAATTAATTCTGCATATATATGATAATATGAGCCCATTCATCTTAAACAATGAAATTCACACACTAATACTCGCCATAATGTGGTTATCGTTTTCTAAAAATCGTATATGCTTTAGCAACATTCATTTTATAAAGGGCACAATTTTAAAAAGGGTGATTTACAGCGAGTAGAATTTCTCACACGTTTTTAATAAAACATACATGTTTTAAGGATTTAGCCAATGTTACTTATATGTTACTTTTAGGATGATTACAGAATTTTAGGTGAATAATAATATTTATTGATTTTAACAAATTCTATTAGGTAAACTACTTTTTATTTATACCTACAAAATTATCTAATTTTTTATGAATATGGTTTGCATTACTAAAAAAGCCTAAGAATTTCTTTCAATTATTATTAATTGAACAATTAGAAAACTTGGAAGATAAGAATCCTCAAAAATTCAAACATTAAGAGGTGGAATCTATTTTTTGAATTAACTGGATATTGAATGAATATTTTTTTATACCTGTGTAAGAATTTAATTATTAATTCATGTATGTTTTATTTACAGATATTAATTTGCTTGTGGTTTCTTACAAGGGGTAGTTCAAAGTTCTTCTGTATCACACGTTGTATCCAGACATTTTTAATCAATTTGTAAAATGGCCACAAAATATTAAAGAACTGAAAATGTATTAAGCTATTGCATAGCTTTTATCGCGGGCTTTGAGCGTGGCGACCGAATAAAAAAAAAAACGAAATCATAACGAAAAAAAACCTAACGCGCCCACTCCGACCGGCACAGCGGTGCGGCGTTAAACAATATTAATTTCTCATTTATTCAATAAAAGAAAATCGAAAATACGTAAAATCGAAAAATTGAAAAACCGAAAAAAATCAAAAAAGAAATTCCGTAACGAAAATAAACCTAACACCCCTCACTCCGACCGGCACAGCGGTGCGGCGTTGAAAGCCGTGCATCGTCTAACGTCGTTTCAGTTCGGCAGACTTCGGCACGGTGTTTGTGTGCATGCGACTAGACGTATGCGTGCAGACTAGCTGCTAACTGCTCATAACTGATTCTATCTCTTGTAGACACAATTTCGGAAAAATTGAATTTGAAAATGAATAATGATCCACAAGAATCCACAACAAAATATGGGACCACCATTGACGCGGTATTTTCCAGATATGTGAGGATATCAAGTCTCAAACTTATGTTTCTTATTTCAGTTACCATAAACCTATAGTTTCAATGATAAAAATTCCTGAATAACCTACATGTAAGAAAATAAAAATATTTTAAACAATATTAACTTCTCATTTATTCAATAAAAGAAAAAAAATTGTTTTATTATCGGTCACAACGCTCAAAAAGTGTAACTTGAATTAACATCAAAGAAAAAACTAATTAATATCAAAAAAAAAAATACTGCATAAATAAATAAAATAAATAGATAATTATAATTGCATAAGTTGATAAAAAATGCTATGCAATAGATTTACCGCGGCAGTCCTCGAGTGCCACACGTATTTTATTTAAATATTTTTATTACTATAAAAAGAAAGTTTTTTATGACATACGATTTTCCTGGAATTATAGGTTGCATTGACTGCACCCATATAGCTTATATTTTTCTGCCAAACATTAACGATTCAGTTTATCCTGAACATTTATATATGAGATTAACAAAAATTATCATTCGATTAATTTACAGTTTGTTGTAATTAAATTACAAAATCCTTATTTTCTTATGGCCTGCACATTACTTGATTTCAATGATATAGACAGTTTACAGAGACATATTATTTGCATGTTAAAAACGTACACGCTTTAAAAAACGTATGCTCATCAAACGGGCCAAGAATATAGTTTTTAAAAACTACTCACTTTTCAACCACTCTCTTTCGAAAACAGTTCGTTTTTTAGCGATTGTTGAGGATAGCCACCCATATTGAATGTTCGTTGAGCCAACACACTAAATTTCATTCAGTTCACTGTTGGAATTATGAAAATTTGATGTTCGGTTAAATGAAAATATCTTATAGCATCTCCCTTATAGTGAAATCCCAGCTTTAGTGTTTTTGAAAATTGAGAATTAAAAAAATTAATCATAGGAGAACTTTGTGCCCAAAGACACTTTTAATAAGGTCAAAAACTGCAACATATATAAAATTCAGAAGATTTAACAAAAAGCCTTCTATGATAAGGAAACTGTGGGGTCCTTTTATAAAACAACAGTCCATTTTTTATTTCCAAATAAGATTGCAAAACATTAGAATTAACAAAATGAGATATAAAAGATGTTGAAAAAATTATTTTAACAGAAGGCACATACCTACCCATATGGCAAATAGAAAAAAACCTCTTATTTCATGTTTTCATAATTCTTGTCTTTGGAATCAGTAATAAAAAAATAATGTAAGTAACATTCATTCATCATTTATTTAAGAAAAAAGTGTTAATGAAAACGCTGTAAATTTCTTGAAATATGTCACATCTCAAAAGATTACACTAGACCAGATTGTCTTGTCTGTCTTTAGGAGAAAAACTATGACTGCTATAAGCAGGAAAGCAATATTTATTAAGTGTGAACCAGGCTTCATATAAGATCCTTAATTTTATTCAACTACAATTCTACAGAAAATAATGCTTATTTAATTTGTAAATATGTGCAAAATTGTATGAAAAAACTGATCTTAAAATAATTCAAAACTAGAAAGTTTTCTTTTATCAGTTTTAACTACTAACCTGCATATGTCCTAAATCTTTGAGTACACTGAGTACAAGAATAGGGTTTAACTGATCTTTCTTCTATACCATGAATTGATTTACAATGTGCCATTAAATCCTTAACCAAATTAAATATCTGATCACAAGTTTCACAACTGTAACTTCTATTGGACTTCCGGCCCTTTTTCTTAGGTTTCTGATCTTCATTTTCACCAAAACAACACTTTTTGTGGTGTATTTTCAAAGCTGCTTTTGAATTATATGTTTTCTTGCAGGTATAGCAGCTATAAACTTGTTTACATACTTTTTTGTGTAGATTTAACTCTTTCTTGCTATTAAAGTCTTCATTACATTTTATACAAGTGAAAAGATCATCTCTTGAAGTCTTTATAGATGATTCCTTTTGAACATAATTTAAAGAATCTAGGACTTTTTTTGATGTTTTGCTATCATTACTGTCTTCATTAACAGTTACTGGACTTGGATTTTCTGAATAGAACTTTTCTTCAAAAAATGTATCTTCTTCCTGTTTTGTTTCTGTTTGTTTGAGTCGTTCAACAAGATTGTGTATTCTTTTTTTAAATATTAAAAAATTATCTAACTGATCTGTACATGTACCACAAATTAAATTATCTTCAGATTCGTCTTGCTAAAATGTTCATAATCATAATACAGAATGTAAATAAGATTTATATAAATAAATTAATTAACTCCATGAATTTCTATAATAAACAAAGGATCCATAATATGATCATTTGTTCAACTTAAAAAAAACCACTTAAATAATTGAAAAGTTCAAAATGTTTTATCTTTGATTTTATACCTATATGTATTATAAAGAAATGTACTTACCAAATCTGGTACAATTGATTTTAATTTTGCTAACCAGTTTATGTTATTATCATCTAAATCCCCAAAACGAGTAATGCAGGATGTACTGTTTAGACAAATGCTGCAATAAATGACATTCATAATTAATTACAGATAATTAAAACATTAGAAAAATCGAAATCTTAGCTCAAAAAAACATATTTTGTTTTGTTTGTGTTTGGACTATGTGACATTTTGATTTGACTGATTTTTGGCAATGACAATTGACAATTCAAAGAACAAACCAGGGGGTCGATTCTCGACTCGTAGGAATATTTTCCTATAGGAATTTTTGACATTTTTATATACATCGAAAATTTATGACGTTTTCCTACATATAGGAAAGTGTCACAAATTCCTATAGGAAAAGGTTCCTACAAGTCGAGAATTGACCCCCAGGGGGTCGATTCTCGACTCGTAGGAATTTTTTCCTATAGGAATTTTTGACATTTTTCTACACATCGGAAATTTATGACATTTGTCTACATGTAGGAAAGTGTCACAAATTCCTATAGGAAAAGGTTCCTACAAGTCGAGAATTGACCCCCATAAGGTTCTTTCGTTCGTCCCACTGGTGTAGGATGAATTACATCAACGCACATCGTACCTTTCGTTTGTAGTGTAGTGTGCACTGGTGGATATTTTCTCCACCAGCTATTTAGCAGGAGTGAATTACACTCGACATATGAATCAGGAATAAGGAGGAAGTCACATACTTTGATTACTATACGGTGAAAGAGAGAGGTCCGACACGCCCAACATAGAGTGCGGCCATTTTGATGCCTTTACCACAGTTTTACCACAGAATCAGTTCGCTCACTCTGCGTCGCACTTTTGATCTCAATATTCCAGTTTCTACACTGCGCAACTCGGATAATACAATATATGACAACCGCCTATATTCAATGGCTGCGTTCATCCGCGCCATTTCAAGGAGCGCTACAAAAGTAGCGATCACTTACGCTACCTGATCGATCTTTATGCACGGATGAACCATGTTTAAAAGTGACATTTGATTTTGGTTTATTCATTTTACTTTTGAGTTGAATGTCTCTGGTTGAAGATTTGTTTGTTTATTTTTCAATTGCTAATATGCTAATATAACCCTACTAGTCACCAAGCAAACCGTGGACGTAAGTGCGTAAGACAGATCAGTGATCACCGATCAGACGTAAATAAAATGCGCTACTTTTAATGGCGGCCGCTCCTTGAGCGAAATGTCAAAATACACCGTTCATACGTGCCACTCGAGAGCGCTACCAGATCGATCAGGTAGCATATGGCGCGGATGAACGCAGCCATTGCGTTCGGTCTTCCAAGTTCCTTTAACTCCTTTAACACTTTTAACTCCAAACGACCGTTTTAGCGTTCGGTTTAGTCCGATTAGTGACAGTTTAACACGCTTAAATGTCATTTAAAAGCACCCTAAAATTTGTCCCGCTCCAGCCCCTGACTATCCGAACTCGCATATTCAACCAGCAGTCTTCTGCGCATCCTGAATTTGTATCCCTGGAGTGGATGTTATTTTGGAATATTCAACTGGTCCGAGTGAGCTAACTGATTCTTTAACAATAAACTGTGCCTTTACTACTAGGTTAGGTAACTCATATATTTCCTAAATGTTAAACTGGGGGGTTATTTTCAAACTCGAGAGAAAGGAGTGCTCTATTGAGAGAAAGGAGTGCTCTATCGAGAGAAAGGTAGTATGTGACTTGGCCTTGTACACACATCGGTTATGGGTACACACATGGAGGAAGGGTACACACGCCCCTAATCACGTGGTCAAATTCTCCTGAGAATATGAATTCTCTCGAAATAAACCGAGAGAAAAGGTCAGTGAGTAGTCATGAGGTAGTCACTGGTTTTCAAAATACAGTTTCCACGTTGACATATGACATTTCTCCTGAAATCTTGAGAGAAATGAGTACTCACACGGTTTGAAAGTAGGTCCCCTGGTAGTCTATACATCCTGGTATTTAGACAATGAAAAGACAACAACAGAGCACTAAAAATTAACATACAATCACTGATTAATTAAAAATAATCGTGTAAATCACGTCTGAAACACAAAATGATATATAAATCCTCAAAACTTGTTCGTTGGGGTTTATGTAAACACAAAGAAAATAGTAAAATCACGGTAAACGGCGAAACGAGCAAAACACTCCATACAACAGCTATAAAAAATATTCACTGACACTGACAGCAGCAAGCAAAATATTAAAAATATTGCGCCAAGATGTAGGCAACACGTAATAAGGCATCAATATGGCGGAGTTTTCTATCTCCTTTTAAAAGGCACTCAAAAAGCTGCGCAGTACGACCATTCTCCGTATAGTAAGACTAGTAAGAGAAAATCAAAGTATGTGGGAGGAAGTAGACTAGGTAAATAAAGATGTCCTTTATTTACCTTTATTTAAAAAAACTAATGTACGAACCGCAGCTAGGGTTGCCACATGTCCTTTTTTGAAAAGGACAGTCCTTTTTGAAGCAAAATGTCCTTGTGACATACTTGTGACTTTTTAAAACTTAAAATGTTTTTTTACGACAAATGTCTTTTTTGAGTGACAGCACATATTTTTGGAAGGGACCTTTGAATATATTAGGCATTCCAAACAAATGAATTACCAGTGGGCAGGTTTGGTATATCTAAGGGTGGCGACATATGGTGTATTCTATCTACTTTACGTAAAATCATAAATGGATTACATTTAAATATTTTATGTCAAACACAATAAAAATAATATTTAAAAAACCCACCTATACATTTCTTCATAAATTGGCAGGCTTGGCGAGTACTACTTCGAATAAAAATAGCGTCCAAGTTGCAAGACTATGTCGCTACCCCCCTTAAATATACAAGAATTTTCCACTGGCACCACATACTTTGATTACTATACGAGGCAAGAGAGAGGTCCGACACGCCCAACATAGGGCGCGGCCATTTTGAACCATGTGACACAGTTTACAGCTAAAGAATCAGATCGCTCACTCTGCGTCGGCACTTTTTATCTCAATGTTCCAGTTTATATACTGCGCAACTCAGATAATACAATATATGATAACCGCCTATAATAAAACAGCAGTCTTCTGCGTATCCTGAATTTGTAACCCTGGAGTGGATGTTATTTTGGAACTTTCAACTGGTCCGAGTGAGCTAACTGATTCTTTAGCAATAAACTGTGGCTCCAAAAATAATATTCACTGACACTGACAGCAGCAAGCAAAATATCAGGTGCGTTTTAATCATCCGCATCTGCTTCCGGAATTGTCGGTTCAGTCGTTTTAACCTGTCAGATTAAAACAAGAAAACCGACAATTCCGAAGCAGAAGCGGATGATTAAAACGCACCTATTAAAAATATTGCGCCAAGATGTAGGCAACACGTAATAAGGGTTCAAAATGGCGGAGTTTTCTATCTCCTTTTAAAAGGCACTCAGAAAGCTGCGCAGTGCGACCATTCTCCGTATAGTAAAAGAAAATCAAAGTATGTGACTGGCACCTATTGTTTGACAGGTCGTTGGAATCAGGGTTGGACACATACTTTGATTTTCTTTTACTATACGGAGAATGGTCGCACTGCGCAGCTTTCTGAGTGCCTTTTAAAAGGAGATTTTGAACCCTTATTACGTGTGGCCTACATCTTAGCGCAATATTTTTAATAGGTACTTTTTAATCATCCGCTTCTGCTTCGGAATTGTCGGTTTTCTTGTTTTAATTTGACAAGTAAAACGACTAAACCGACAATTCCGGAAGCAGAAGCGGATGATTAAAACGCACCTCATATTTTGCTTGCGGCTGTCAGTGTCAGTGAATATTATTTTTTGAGTCACAGATTATTGCTAAAGAATCAGTTAGCTCACTCGGGCCAGTTGAAAGTTTCAAAATAAGATCCACTCCAGAGATACAAATTTAGGATACGCAGAAGACAGCTGTTTTATTATAGGCGGTTGTTATATATTGTATTATCCGAGTTGCGCAGTGTATAAACTGGAACATTGAGATCAAAAGTGCCGACGCAGAGTGAGCGATCTGATTCTTTAGCTATAAACTGTTGCATAGGGTTCAAAATGGCCGGGCCCTATGTTGGGCGTGTCGGACCTCTCTCTTGCGCCCACGGTGTACTATAAGGTGTATCAACTCCTATTTAAAAACAAATGAAAACGGCGATAAAACCGATCGTACTTCCTAGCCAAAATCCGCTAGGTTCGCTAGTATCTATCCGGCGAGAAAGTAAATAAAAGATGAAGGTTGGTAGGAGCTGCAATTTGAAAAGTGTTGACAGATAAATATTTTTTAAAATCTTAAAATATATAAATCATGGTGGATCGTTGAGCTGTTTTTAATTGTGATTGTGGGAGAGTCTTCAACATATTGATAGCAGTTTTATAATGCCAAAAAACAGTTATACAGAATATGGTGCAATTATTTAGGTGGTATGGAAATAAACATTAAACCCAAAAGTTCCATTTGTGAAAAACATTTAAATGCAAATTATGTTATATCCGTGAAAAAGTGCTAAGAAATCTACTAGGAAACGTTATTTTTCAAGTAAATATGTTTAATGTCTACGTTTTAAATGATTGTAGGTTATGTAAATAGGTTATTTAACTTTGTCTTTTCTATAATAAAAATAATTATTAGTATAAAGTTTTACTATATAAATATTTCGTATTATTTATCCTGTCCCCTTGGTACTAATAATGTTATGACTTGGACCCTATTATAATGTGTTCATGGTATAAATTTCATATACACAAGGTACCTATTTCTTCTGATATTTTTCTGACCCTGCGAATAAATAAAATCTTTGACTTATTCCTTTTAGCCTGATTATAATGCTAGAAAGTTGTATCTGGTTATAAGAATCAAATAGATACTATGATAAATTTATTTTACTTGTAGCCTTTTTATTTTCAAGTGTTTAAATATACATTTGTTTAATAATAATCATCCCCGAATGTGTTTTGTTCCAGTTCTTTAAATGTATTTACTAGGTTTTTATAGCAGTACTGATTTTAAATTAATACAAATTTGAGTTGTAAGAAATATTAAGGATTTTTCAATTCTGTATTTTTATAGGAGTTAATCCCTTTAAGTAAATAAATGTAGTTTGGGGTCGTAGATGTTGGTATTTGTGTATTGAATAATGTGTACATACACTGGTTAATAATTTAAACAATGTTTTTTCTGATGTACC